TGATTTCCGAAACGCTGATTTGAAAGGTTGTCTTGTAATCTAACTTGAGCATGTTGGAAGATTTTCCGCTAGAATCTGGTTATAATTTGCAAAATTCATATCCCAAAGAGAACCAACCCCTTTGATAAAACCTGGTCGCTAACCAGTTCCATCTATTAGAGATCAGATAAATTATTCACTATCATTGCATAAGCCTCAAATACGCTTTCACGAAGACGGCAATTTCCATTTGTGTTAAGCATCATCACCAAAGTAAGTAATGAAAATCAGGAATCACTTTTCATAAATGTCAAAAACGACAGAAACACTAAAAGGGTGCTGTTCACTACGTCGATGACCGCTTAAAATCTTATCGTGAATCCTCTTATTCTACCTGACAGCATGACAAAAAATCTCAAACGAACTCTCAAAAAATTGCTTTAAACCCGGACTGGTTGTAAATAAAGACTATTAAATGGTCAAACTGAGGTTCGACTGTTTGTCTGTGTTTATTTTTAAGAATCAGTTCTCAGAGAAGGTGATTGCATTAACACATCTACGAATACGAATGTAAATGTAGGTAAACATGCATGCTTCATGAAAGACCTGCATTGCTCGTCCCTATTTACACTTATTTACCTTGATAAGTTGCAGTTCGTTGATTGTATTCATACACGATTCGCCGTTATTCAAGTATAGTATCATATTGATGCCTTCATCAAAATATCATTCGTTCTTCAAATCTTTCATATGGATACCTATACATATCTATGAATGGAATGACCTATAAAGGACATCAATAAAGGAGTATAATAAAATTATTTATATGCTAATTCGTGTGTACATACTAGCCACCAGTAATAGATTTGCTTGAACTGTTCATCGCAACACCACTCGTAAAGTTTCATGTCTGAAGAGAGCAATACACCCTTGTGTTGCCCCAACTACAAGGACATTACTAAACGGATATGTGAAAATAAAGAATGCACAATATGAATGCGTAACAAGATGCGGTTATTTGTGATTGATATAACAGATTTAGAGCTTTTTAAACGTCTACCTATAGAACG